CCACTTTGAGAGCGTGTTCTTCGAGCAGTCACACAGAACAGCCATCACATCGTTGGGGCAATAGAGCTTGAAATACATCAAAGTCCACAGCAAATGTTTAGGATGTGTTTTCGGCGGACGGTCACACTGGTTCCATAGCGTGGTCATGATGAAGGTATCCACACCATAGAACGCAATCAACGTCCTCTCGTCTAGGTTGGAGTTAGCAGACCTGGTGGCTACTTCAGATGCTATCTTCTCGATACATTCTCGTTCGAATTTCATTGTGTTGGATTTGTGAGTGTTGGTCTTTTGGCTTTCCAGGAATGGAAAGAGCGATACACATGGCAAATTGATGGTATGGTGCAGTAAACGTGATCAAGACAGAACACTCTAGCTTCCGTTTTTTGTGTAGAGAAACGTAGATGCTACGTGGATTCCACGTAGATAGAGCGAAACAGTTCAGCTTTGTCACTAATAAAACAGAACCGTATGGCGCAGCTATAGTGATCAAGAACCACCGAAAATGAGAACCACGAGTCCAAACCGTCGCTAACAACAGTGTTTCCATTCGTGCCACCACGATGCGGTGGCAGAGTTTTGCGCCACAATTTCATACCACATTCAAGCATACCAAACGGTACTATGAGAGCCCCCAGCATCAATTCAGTCTTAGGCGAGAAGCTCCTTGATGATTCCTATCCCGACGGAAGAGTGTACTGCTGGGCTGCCTTACCCCATGGCCTTATTGCAAAAGAAGCCAAAGTCAAGATCTCAAACGACCAAAAAAAGGTGTACTTGCTAATGGAAACATCCTCTATTACTACCAATTCAATCATGGGGAGAACGACCTTGGGCAAGAACAACATTCACAAAATGCTCCTCAATAAAGTTCTGCAAGAAGCTAAAGAGCAAAGTGCAAAGGAAATGGAAAAGATTTCAGATGACATTGCAATGCCTCCAGGCTATAGAGCGGAGTGCTTGTTCCATTTACCATACCGTGTTCACCGATATTTCATTGATGCAGAAGGTGAAAGATCCAAGAAAATATATTTTTCGCCAACATCCATGCGATTTTGGCTCCAAAAGTCTGATACAACTGCGTACTGTTCGGCTGCCACTCCAGATGATACAATGCCTGATGCACCAGGTAAGGCCTCATAAGTTTATAGATGTTTCTTGCTCAATTCTATTTTTATTTAATAGTGCAATCCCGCTATGGATAGATCCAATGCAAGTAGATCCAAAGCAGGTCAATACAAGCGAGAAGAAAGGACTGGATCCACAAATTGCAGAACAAATCAAGGCAGAGGCAAAAAAGTGGAAGAATTAATACTTGGAACGACAGGCTCATCTTGAAGCGAATGAAGACCGAATTTTTCATCTCAACTCCGAGATGGTAGCTCTGCAAATTCAGCTTGAAAAGGTACAGAGTGAGAAACACGCAATGGAAGCTCAAGGTGGAGACCAAGCAAACGTGTTAGAATAATGCAAAATGTGCTCTATCGTGAGTGCCTTTAGCGCTCAGAACAAACTCTCTGCAATCTAAATTTGTAATCGACTGTACAACACTTTCACGACAATAGTTCTCCTGTGTCTAGGTATGCTTTGAGTGAAATTGTTCCTATTTGATTAATGTTTGGCTTGAATTGATGATTCAATCACAAAAGTAAGTTCAACAATTTTCCTTTGGAAAATCCCTTGTTTACGGAACTTGATTCGACCTCTACGACGATTCTGTGTTGGATACAGTACTTTGGGACATCTTGTATTATTCCCTACTGCATTGTACACAACATCGATATCTCACTTGTATAGGGTCATTCCCTTTTTGTGTGGATGTAGTTTGTCCGACAGACTTGCGTCCGGCATACTTGCGGCGAATCCCGACATCACGATCAAAGTCCGATCGTACGTGTCGAAAACTTCGTACTTGAATAGTTTCTTTTCGGAACGTAAAAACTCATATTTCGTCATATCCCAACATAAAGTAAGACCTTTGATTGAATAAGACTACTGCTTATTCCAGAGGCTGAGGCCCAGAGTCGATGGTGCCCAAAGGCAAACCATAGCCAACGTAGATTCGATCTCAGGGACTGCTCATTGAAATAGACAGGGCGTTGAGGCTCCCATTCAGGTCTGTAGAGTAGGTCCATCTGACAATGACCTTCGCAGAATAGTTGGACAAAGAATCAGTCCAAAGGCTGACCCACTTTGAGAGCGTGTTCTTCGAGCAGTCACACAGAACAGCCATCACATCGTTGGGGCAATAGAGCTTGAAATACATCAAAGTCCACAGCAAATGTTTAGGATGTGTTTTCGGCGGACGGTCACACTGGTTCCATAGCGTGGTCATGATGAAGGTATCCACACCATAGAACGCAATCAACGTCCTCTCGTCTAGGTTGGAGTTAGCAGACCTGGTGGCTACTTCAGATGCTATCTTCTCGATACATTCTCGTTCGAATTTCATTGTGTTGGATTTGTGAGTGTTGGTCTTTTGGCTTTCCAGGAATGGAAAGAGCGATACACATGGCAAATTGATGGTATGGTGCAGTAAACGTGATCAAGACAGAACACTCTAGCTTCCGTTTTTTGTGTAGAGAAACGTAGATGCTACGTGGATTCCACGTAGATAGAGCGAAACAGTTCAGCTTTGTCACTAATAAAACAGAACCGTATGGCGCAGCTATAGTGATCAAGAACCACCGAAAATGAGAACCACGAGTCCAAACCGTCGCTAACAACAGTGTTTCCATTCGTGCCACCACGATGCGGTGGCAGAGTTTTGCGCCACAATTTCATACCACATTCAAGCATACCAAACGGTACTATGAGAGCCCCCAGCATCAATTCAGTCTTAGGCGAGAAGCTCCTTGATGATTCCTATCCCGACGGAAGAGTGTACTGCTGGGCTGCCTTACCCCATGGCCTTATTGCAAAAGAAGCCAAAGTCAAGATCTCAAACGACCAAAAAAAGGTGTACTTGCTAATGGAAACATCCTCTATTACTACCAATTCAATCATGGGGAGAACGACCTTGGGCAAGAACAACATTCACAAAATGCTCCTCAATAAAGTTCTGCAAGAAGCTAAAGAGCAAAGTGCAAAGGAAATGGAAAAGATTTCAGATGACATTGCAATGCCTCCAGGCTATAGAGCGGAGTGCTTGTTCCATTTACCATACCGTGTTCACCGATATTTCATTGATGCAGAAGGTGAAAGATCCAAGAAAATATATTTTTCGCCAACATCCATGCGATTTTGGCTCCAAAAGTCTGATACAACTGCGTACTGTTCGGCTGCCACTCCAGATGATACAATGCCTGATGCACCAGGTAAGGCCTCATAAGTTTATAGATGTTTCTTGCTCAATTCTATTTTTATTTAATAGTGCAATCCCGCTATGGATAGATCCAATGCAAGTAGATCCAAAGCAGGTCAATACAAGCGAGAAGAAAGGACTGGATCCACAAATTGCAGAACAAATCAAGGCAGAGGCAAAAAAGTGGAAGAATTAATACTTGGAACGACAGGCTCATCTTGAAGCGAATGAAGACCGAATTTTTCATCTCAACTCCGAGATGGTAGCTCTGCAAATTCAGCTTGAAAAGGTACAGAGTGAGAAACACGCAATGGAAGCTCAAGGTGGAGACCAAGCAAACGTGTTAGAATAATGCAAAATGTGCTCTATCGTGAGTGCCTTTAGCGCTCAGAACAAACTCTCTGCAATCTAAATTTGTAATCGACTGTACAACACTTTCACGACAATAGTTCTCCTGTGTCTAGGTATGCTTTGAGTGAAATTGTTCCTATTTGATTAATGTTTGGCTTGAATTGATGATTCAATCACAAAAGTAAGTTCAACAATTTTCCTTTGGAAAATCCCTTGTTTACGGAACTTGATTCGACCTCTACGACGATTCTGTGTTGGATACAGTACTTTGGGACATCTTGTATTATTCCCTACTGCATTGTACACAACATCGATATCTCACTTGTATAGGGTCATTCCCTTTTTGTGTGGATGTAGTTTGTCCGACAGACTTGCGTCCGGCATACTTGCGGCGAATCCCGACATCACGATCAAAGTCCGATCGTACGTGTCGAAAACTTCGTACTTGAATAGTTTCTTTTCGGAACGTAAAAACTCATATTTCGTCATATCCCAACATAAAGTAAGACCTTTGATTGAATAAGACTACTGCTTATTCCAGAGGCTGAGGCCCAGAGTCGATGGTGCCCAAAGGCAAACCATAGCCAACGTAGATTCGATCTCAGGGACTGCTCATTGAAATAGACAGGGCGTTGAGGCTCCCATTCAGGTCTGTAGAGTAGGTCCATCTGACAATGACCTTCGCAGAATAGTTGGACAAAGAATCAGTCCAAAGGCTGACCCACTTTGAGAGCGTGTTCTTCGAGCAGTCACACAGAACAGCCATCACATCGTTGGGGCAATAGAGCTTGAAATACATCAAAGTCCACAGCAAATGTTTAGGATGTGTTTTCGGCGGACGGTCACACTGGTTCCATAGCGTGGTCATGATGAAGGTATCCACACCATAGAACGCAATCAACGTCCTCTCGTCTAGGTTGGAGTTAGCAGACCTGGTGGCTACTTCAGATGCTATCTTCTCGATACATTCTCGTTCGAATTTCATTGTGTTGGATTTGTGAGTGTTGGTCTTTTGGCTTTCCAGGAATGGAAAGAGCGATACACATGGCAAATTGATGGTATGGTGCAGTAAACGTGATCAAGACAGAACACTCTAGCTTCCGTTTTTTGTGTAGAGAAACGTAGATGCTACGTGGATTCCACGTAGATAGAGCGAAACAGTTCAGCTTTGTCACTAATAAAACAGAACCGTATGGCGCAGCTATAGTGATCAAGAACCACCGAAAATGAGAACCACGAGTCCAAACCGTCGCTAACAACAGTGTTTCCATTCGTGCCACCACGATGCGGTGGCAGAGTTTTGCGCCACAATTTCATACCACATTCAAGCATACCAAACGGTACTATGAGAGCCCCCAGCATCAATTCAGTCTTAGGCGAGAAGCTCCTTGATGATTCCTATCCCGACGGAAGAGTGTACTGCTGGGCTGCCTTACCCCATGGCCTTATTGCAAAAGAAGCCAAAGTCAAGATCTCAAACGACCAAAAAAAGGTGTACTTGCTAATGGAAACATCCTCTATTACTACCAATTCAATCATGGGGAGAACGACCTTGGGCAAGAACAACATTCACAAAATGCTCCTCAATAAAGTTCTGCAAGAAGCTAAAGAGCAAAGTGCAAAGGAAATGGAAAAGATTTCAGATGACATTGCAATGCCTCCAGGCTATAGAGCGGAGTGCTTGTTCCATTTACCATACCGTGTTCACCGATATTTCATTGATGCAGAAGGTGAAAGATCCAAGAAAATATATTTTTCGCCAACATCCATGCGATTTTGGCTCCAAAAGTCTGATACAACTGCGTACTGTTCGGCTGCCACTCCAGATGATACAATGCCTGATGCACCAGGTAAGGCCTCATAAGTTTATAGATGTTTCTTGCTCAATTCTATTTTTATTTAATAGTGCAATCCCGCTATGGATAGATCCAATGCAAGTAGATCCAAAGCAGGTCAATACAAGCGAGAAGAAAGGACTGGATCCACAAATTGCAGAACAAATCAAGGCAGAGGCAAAAAAGTGGAAGAATTAATACTTGGAACGACAGGCTCATCTTGAAGCGAATGAAGACCGAATTTTTCATCTCAACTCCGAGATGGTAGCTCTGCAAATTCAGCTTGAAAAGGTACAGAGTGAGAAACACGCAATGGAAGCTCAAGGTGGAGACCAAGCAAACGTGTTAGAATAATGCAAAATGTGCTCTATCGTGAGTGCCTTTAGCGCTCAGAACAAACTCTCTGCAATCTAAATTTGTAATCGACTGTACAACACTTTCACGACAATAGTTCTCCTGTGTCTAGGTATACTTTGAGTGAAATTGTTCCTATTTGATTAATGTTTGGCTTGAATTGATGATTCAATCACAAAAGTAAGTTCAACGATTTTCCCTTGGAAAATCCCTTGTTTACAGAACTTGATTCGACCTCTACGACGATTCTGTGTTGGATACAGTACTTTGGGACATATTGTATTATTCCCTACTGCATTGTACACAACATCGATATCTCACTTGTATAGGGTCATTCCCCTTTTGTGTGGATGTAGTTTGTCCGACAGACTTGCGTCCGGCATACTTGCGGCGAATCCCGACATCACGATCAAAGTCCGATCGTACGTGTCGAAAACTTCGTACTTGAATAGTTTCTTTTCGGAACGTAAAAACTCATATTTCGTCATATCCCAACATAACTGGAATGAAATCGATTGGATTGAACGAGTGTAACACAAATGAAATCATGATTTTCGATAAAGTCACTGAAAATGAGAACAAGTTGATTGTAAGCAAAGGAATGGAAAGTAAAGCGTCCTTCTCCAGGACAGCCCACTCGGAAGGTGAAATGTTTGGACTGAGTGAGTGCTTGAGATTATTTACTTTGCTCTTCTTTCTTTTCTGTATCATTGCGTACAAGCGTCACCACAAACTAACTAATGGTTGTTAATCATGATATTTTTTTGTCCCCATCACATGATAGAGTTCTGGGAAAACTGGTATGTGATTGGTGAAAACGATTCTGGTTCTTCAGACTTCAAGTTCATATATTACCATGGAAAAACTCGACAGAACACATACGAAGGTGCTTTTGTATACAGCCGGTCAAAGGAGCTTGAACCAGAATCGATGGCAAAAGTTTATTCAATCGCAAAGAAAGCAGGGATGGATCCAAAGTTTTGTAGAATCCAAAATGGATGCTTCAATGACGATATTTCTCTGGAACCGCGAGTAGCCCCCCCACCACCAGAAGCAATACCGTTCCGTGGAATCATGGCGAGCACCAAAGTGTCTGAATTGCTTGGAGTAGAGGCTGTTTCCGCAAGAGATTACACTGGTATTCCTGGAAGTGTTACAGAAGATCTTCAACCGAAAGCAAAGTCATCAAGTAGGCCCTGGTGGTACGAGGTTGGGGATTATCTTGAGAACCCTCGCAGGCACTTTGATTATATGAATAGTATGAGACAAAACATGGATTGCCCCAAAGAAGTGCGAGAGTGGAATCAGTGATTCCATTGGTACCACCAATACCTTTTCTTGACCTTTGTCTTGAGCCAAGATGCCGGGGCAAATGTCATCGTATGCTGGGGCAAATGTTATCTGCAAATGTCATTGTACATAAAGTGACTGACTTAACTGCCAACTCCCGAGCAGATGTATTAGAGTGATCAAAGCCCAACAGCCATTGCCGATGGTCAGCCCAAGATTAATCATCCATCATATACTCACAGCTGCCTCAGACCCCCGTAAATACACCCCAATAGCAATATTAATCACCATGTCGAACAGTAGCTACATCAATGCACTACTAGTACGCTCTCTGGAGCATAGTGACAGAAATCAATGCATATGAACTAGCCTATAGGGTGACTAGTTTCTACAAGACGATAGATATCAATTCAGTTAAAAGCATGCATGCAAATCCTTCGATTCATTACAGAACTGACATCTGAGAAGGTACGCTGGTCCTTTTGCGGGGTCATAGTACTTGGGCTATATTCTCCAGTCCTATTTCCTTATTTGACAGTTCCATTGTGTACAAAGGGCCAGGCCAAAGTGATTAAATCACTAGCCCCTGTGGTACAAGATGCTCAATCGCAAGTGCCCTGTCCTTTTTTTCATAAAACAATTGTCGTTTTATTAATAGGAAGCAAACCTTCTCAAATTTTCAAAGTTCCCATTGATACATGCGCTAATGTGACATATTTGAAATGGAGGACGTTATTATACATGTAGGAAGATCATGTACGTGCTGGTCAGACCAGCTTGAAAGCTAAGACATATTTAAAACTATGTGGCCGTTGTATGGCTCTGACAAATAAGATGCCCATCAATTCTGAATGGTTCTGTGTGAGATGTCATGGACTGTGATTGCTTTCTTCCTACCAGCTGCCGCAGCTTTAGTACCACACGATGCATTTGTGGTACTGGGTGCAGAGAAATCCAGCAAAGGCTCAAAAATTTGAATTATGCCCTTGGCGGATTTTTTTTGGTCCCATCAAGCACAGGAAACCACTATGAAGAAGAGGGGGGCAAGGTTTGGACAGCTGCATTGAGGAAAAGAAAATTGGTAGAAACGTACATTACTGGAGATTGTGTCCTAAAAGCACGTTGCTTTGTAGCAATGTTGCATTTTGCACCATCAGTTTTGAGGTTCAAATGCATGAGAAGATGAGGCAAGGAGCACATCAAATTGGGTTTTTTGAAGTTTACCCTAGATATTCCAAGTAGGTACCATGATGGTTGGACAAAAGGTTGTTTTGGAGTGGAGGTAATGCTTAAGGGTGAGTACCATAAATATAGACAATAGTAGACATGCATTCTTTTTTAGTTTTGTTAGATACATAGTCCTGCCAGTGCGGACATGCTGAGTTTAAGAACAGAGGGACAATGTTGGATTAGAACAAGGACAAGGATAGGAATAGGTGTTTGTCTAGGTCAACAAAGTTGGCCTTCTTCCATGAGCAATAAGCAAGACTTAATACTGGTCAGGTGAACTCAACCATCCAAGAAAGCACACACAGGATTGTCTTCATCTGGATCATTGTAGTTGTAGGTGTTAGAATAAAGCAAAATGTGCCCTATCGTGAGTGCCTTTAGCGCTCAGAACAAACTCTCTGCAATCTAAATTTGTAATCGATTGTACAACACTTTCACGACAATAGTTCTCCTGTGTCTAGGTATACTTTAGGTGAAATTGTTCCTATTTGATTAATATTTGGCTTGAATTGATGATTCAATCACAAAAGTAAGTTCAACGATTTTCCCTTGGAAAATCCCTTGTTTACAGAACTTGATTTGACTTCTACGACAATTCTGTGTTGAATGCAGTACTTTGGGATATCTTGCATTATTCCCTACTTCATTGTACACAACATCACTATCCCACTTGTATAGGGTCATTCCCTTTTTGTGTGGATATAGATTGTCCGACAAACTTGCGTCCAGCATACTTCTGTCAAATACCGACATCATAATCAAAGTTCAATCGTATGAAAGTAAAAACTCATATTTTGTCATATCCCAACACACTCCTGCCATTGTGACAATCACCATTGACAGCAATGGGACATGCTCTCATTCACTGTTTATTTTGTTTTGTATTTTCATTTTGAACATATACATACTTGTCTGACGTATTCCTTTGGACCAAGAATCAGATCCCTGAACTTGCAAAACTTCTCACCTTGCAATGGCTTAGTCATAAAATCCGCAATCATATTGTCAGTTGGACAGTATTTGATCTTACATTTCCTTTCTCAACTTGATCTGTGATAAAGAAATAACAAATATTGATAGCTTGGATTCTTTTTCCCCCTGTTGGGATATGACGAAATATGAGTTTTTACGTTCCAAAAAGAAACTATTCAAGTACGAAGTTTTTGACACGTACGATCGGACTTTGATCGTGATGTCGGGATTCGGCGCAAGTATGCCGGACGCAAGTCTGTTGGACAATCTACATCCACACAAAAGGAGAATGACCCTATACAAGTGTGGATATTGATGTTGTGTACGATGCAGTAGGGAATAATACAAGATGTCCCAAAGTACTTCATCCAACACAGAATTGTCGTAGAAGTCAAATCAAGTTCTGTAAACAAGGGATTTTCCAAGGGAAAATCGTTGAACTTACTTTTGTGATTGAATCATCAATTCAAGCCAAACATTAATCAAATAGGAACAATTTCACTCAAAGTATACCTAGACACAGGAGAACTATTGTCGTGAAAGTGTTGTACAGTCGATTACGAATTTAGATTGCAGAGAGTTTGTTCTGAGCGCTAAAGGCACTCACAATAGAGCACATTTTGCATTATTCTAACATTCAATCACAAAAGGCAACAAAACAAATTTATGTCAAGAACAGCACTGCCTTATCTACAAAGGAGTGAGTGATTTGTTGACAATGGGACGTTCTTCATCTGGTGGTGGAAGAGGACGTGTGACTCCTCAGAAAGTCAAGAGCAACTCGAGTTCAACAGTTGTGAAACATCTATTTTCAACGAAAGATGAAAACGATGGATAGGCAAGATCGTCGTATGAAGATGCCAAGGAAAGAGTGATTGACTACATCCAAGCTTCTGGAATGAAATGTTCCGAAGACATGGTGAAATCAATTCAAGATGGAAAGTCGATCAACTTCAGTGCGATCGCTCCAAGATTGAACGCTCCAACTCAAACTGAAGCTGTTGCAAGAGAAACAGAGATGGCCCAAAACAAGATTCCCTATTCTGCAAAGCTTGACGAGAACATGCGAAGATCAGCATACTTCAAGACAAACAAGAGAACCGTCAAATCAAACATCATGCTGAAGTTTGTGACAAAGGCGATGGATATCAAGCTTTGAGGTGAAGCCGATTTCACGACTACTCTTGAAGATCTGATCAAACTCTTGAAACATATTGAACGATTCATGAAGAAGAGTGCTGATGCTGAGTATGATTTCCTAGATTTCTGGGAAGCAAATCAAAAGTTCTTTGCTATGAAGCAAGGAACAACCGAAAACTTGATGCATTTCAAGGAACGATTCTTGACACAGGCTGAAGTCCTGCAAGATCTATGTGGCGTGGTCTGGTTCCATGATTTTGCAGTCAAGACAAAAGCGTATGCTGCTATTGCTAACACCGATACTGCGGCTCAAAACAAGTTCAAGGATGATATCTTTGAAGCCGTTCTTGCAACAGGATTTCTGTGCAACAGCGATTGAACAAGAACAGCTCCTCTGATGCTGGATCTTCAGACAAACTATTGCAGAGAAGTGGATTATTATCCAAAGACGGTCAGCAAAGCACAAGATATGTTGAAAATTCACATGGAAGTGAGTAAAAATCCGGGAG